TATCACTTGGCCAGTGTACACATATATTCAAGGCATTCATGGTAATCATTCTTAGCCAATCAAACGGGACAACATAAACAACAATTGGCCGTTCATAGATTCGTCAATTACTGGCAATGACCAGCGGTCTTTTCGGTTATAGAGCTATGCCATAGTAAAGCGAAATTCGTGATCACACTCTGCACAGTATGAAACCAATATAACGACCTTGATCAAACTAGGTTATCCAAAATGACGTATCGCACAAATCCAACTACACTGTCGAATGTGATTATCGCACAAATCCAGCTACACTGTCGAATGTGATTATCGCACAAATCCAGCTACACAGTCGAATGCGATTGTCGCACAAATCCAACTACACTGTCGGATATAAAGTATTGCACTAAACAAAAGTATCTGTAAAAAAATTGTCAAAAATGTTGACAATTTACATGAACCATGTAGTAAATTACCTTTTATCGATTGAATGCAGAGAAGTTTTATTAAATATTGTTAACCTGGAATTGCCGCTAAGTAAAACATCACGTACGTGCATTCCCGTCTGTATCGTGGAACATAAATATGTGCGTGTACAGATGTCCTAGTTGATATATTTGATTAAATAGATGACTTAAAATAATAAAACATGTATTCTTATATAAATAGTGTCACGTCTATTTTAACACAGTGAGTGAAATACCAACGTCCAATTTGCTGAAATTCATTTAAACCGAAATATCAATGGCAATAGGAACATGAATAGGCGCGGCTTTTGAGGAATACAATGGAATTTATGCCCCAAGGCCTATACCATGATACTGGGTAATTTGAACTAAATAATTGAATTATAGATACTCAGTTCGTGCTTTCAGTCGAGGAAAATCTATATGCACATATAGAAGATTAATATATGAGACATGTTTCATTAGGCCATTCCTGGCGTGGACACAGACGGCAACAAAAGATTTGATCTTGAAATTAATGACATCATCGTTTGGTGGATGCCGAATGTAGTTAATTTTTACGATTTCATTCTTAGAACGAGATTGAGTTGATACAATCATGTGACTGTAAAGCCATTAACACTCTATGTGAATTTAAATAGTAAACGTTGTGTTTTCTTTAACCACAATTACGTCTAAAAAGAACCTTTTTCGAGAGTGGACATCCCCACACAATATACTGCGTTACAGGTGCACCACTTAGTTATGGACATATGCATACTATAATATTTAATGAATATTCAAAGAGCACATAGAACACATACTATGTAAACGTGAGGTCGAAGAATGTGTTAGAATGGATTCCAGTCCATGCCCATGTGACTCTATCACGGGTGTAATAAAGTAAATTATACAAATTGTAATACTGGTCAGGTAAAGAGTGGTGTGACAGAGATTGGAATTCGAACAACCAGCCGGGGCTATGTATGATAAAAACTGGAAGGATGAACAGCAATCCGGGACTAGGTTCGAAGAAGTGAAATACTGGACACTGGATAGCTGTCTGAGGCGAGGGGTGATATACACATGAATACAAGGCAGCCAGCCAAGGCGAGGAATGATAAGATTGGAAATCCATTGTAGTACATTAGTTCTATGTTAAATCAAGTTTACTGGAAGTAAATGCCTAAGATTCATGAAATATGTTCGCGAACTTTCTGACCCCATGCAAAGACTATATTCCACCGAAATGAAATGAAACGATAGCACAGTAAAGACGCGGATGTCGTATGACCGATGACGTATAGCTCAATTTTCCCATCAGACTGCTATTTAAACACACGCCCTCTATTTACGCATACTGTGTGAAGAAAAAATAACACTATTTTTCAAAGCCCTAGTAAATTATCAAAATCACAAACAAATGATATTTAAAAATGTTAATTTCATCTGAACAATATTTTCAATGATAGAGTGATTTGTGTATAGCGGTGTTTCGATAATTCTGTGATTATATTTAAAAAAACATACGAACTGTGGGAATAACATCTGTGACCTCATTTGTGACCCAATGTGTGACCTTGCTTATGGATGCAATTTATATTCGTGAGTACATAACTTCTAAATATGAACACATGTCAGAGATTCAATAAATTGAACACGAATCAAAATGGCATACAATTTATTTATTTATTTGCTGGTAGCTAGCATCTGTACTACTCCTACCAAAACGAAACAAAATGTTGCGAAAGATGTAATCTCTGAAATATCTAGTCTTGCCCACTGAGGGCGACATTTAGATTTATTAAGGCGCCAGCATGAGTTGCTGGCCTTACATTGACCTCGATGAGCGACGTCACGCATCGCCATTGTGTCAAATCAGCACATACAATAATCGGATTATTGTGTTTATAAGAAAAGATTGAAATTAAAGTATCCGCTCTCCCGTGAAATTTTACAGTATAAATGAATTTAAAATTAAATTGATATCTTCGTCACGTGATTTTCGACGTGCATGCTGCAGAAGTATTTTTATTATGTGCGTATTTTGAAAAAAGCATATTTCTGGATTTAAAATTAATTGCGTGTTAGATGTAACTACGTTGTTCAGACATTCACAAGTAATTACATGTGTGCGATACTATTTAAGTGATGGATATTAAAGACAATATTTCGTTATTGATGACGTAGCGCACAAACATGAACTAAATATGTGCCCTAAAGTGTTACTATATATTTTGATCTACTGCAAGGTGTTATTGATTTCAAGCAACAATCGAAATTCTGTGGTAATAATATCGCAATATATCAACACCAGCGTGAGTAATGTGATGAACACGCTTGCAAAGTATTCTACCGCCCTCAAATGTCATGGCGCATAAACAACACGAGGCTAATAACTAGTAATCGTCTCGGCATTTGATTGGTAAATCTAGTTCTCATGTTTATCTGACGTCACTGATTACGTTTCAATCACAAAGATTTGATACATTAGACTTACTAAACTGCTGTGTGCTACTATTACTATAATCGATAAGAATT